TGTGTGTGTGTCTGTGTGTGTGTGTGTGTGTGAGTGTGTGTGTGTGTGGTGGTGGTAAGTTAGACAGCAAGAGAAAAAGTTATAGTACTCACACACATACACATAAACACACACACACACACACACACACACCGCGTCGATGTCTGCGAGTGGGTTGGTGCGGCGGTAAAACTCCACGAGGTACGCGGCAAGGTTGTTGATGTACCTGCAGCACAGACACAAGAAGAAGGAAAAAAAAGGAGATGATGAGAAAGGCTGCTTAGATCCTCAACCCCACGCAGTCGCACACATTCGCACACATTCACACGGATTCGCACGCATTCGCACACATTCACAATCCGGCTTCGTCGACGCACGCACGATTTGTAAGCGGCGGTCTTCTTGATTTGGCGCGGAAGCTCAGAGAGGAGATCAAAGGTCTGCACGTATTCGAGGTACTCCATATGGGGCACGCCCTTGAGGTTGTTGTACGCCACGAAATGCTCGTGCAAGTCCAGAAACCGTCCGTGGCTCTCCTCGCCGCTAAACTCAACAAATCCTACGCATGGTATTGCAAGTGGAACGCTCTGATGAGACACACATGCACAGCCCACGCATATGTACACACGCAACACACACACACACTCTCTCTCTCTCTGTCTTACACAGACACAAACCCACACCCACACCCACACACTCACTCACACACCCACCCACATACACACACACACACACACACACACACACACACACACACACACACACACAAACTTGCACACATGCACTCACCAGCGAGGCCCGGAGTCTTGGTCTCTGCTGGCTTGTCGTTGCCGGTTTTGCGTTTCCTGCTCGCATTCTTCTGCTGCTGTGCCTCCAACAGCGCTTCTGGCTGAAGAAAGTCTGGCAAGATGTCCGTGCGCACTGGCCGGGCAATCTATCCCATCGGCGCAAGAGAAGTAACAAGAAAGCAGAGCACGCACGCATGTGTGTGTGTGAGGATCAGGGTGAGGCGACCATGTTCGTGTCGGCCTCCCTCCACTGTGCTTGCTCTGTTTTGCAGTGTGCAGAATGCAGGGCACTGATAACGGACCGCGTTTGGCGCTTCTTTGTGATACTCCTTGATCTCCCCGAGCTTCTCGTAGAACGACTCAAAGGGGTTGACGCTCAGTGCATCAATCTCCTTCTTCCGCTCCCTGCTCGACAAGCAAACATCCCCACGACCACGCGTGAGGCACAACGAATGACCATGGGTCCAGATTGCTGCGCACATCAAACTGCAAATGAAAGCACACATACGCTTATCCACCTCCACACACGCACACACCACACACACGCACCACACACACACACACACACACACAACAGCCAACGTACCCGTCAGCATCGTTGTACAGCTCCACAAGCTCGCGTGCGTTGTTGGACATGCGCTATGAGAGAAAACCATGTGCACACACGTGAGAACGAAGCAACGCACACCAAAACTGCGCTGCACACATGGACAGCATTATCACACGCACTCACAATCACCACACACACCACACACCACACACACCACACACAAAAACACACACAACACCACACATACCAAACACACCACACACCACACAACACACAAAACCACACACACAACAATGCACACACACACACAACAACGCACACAACAATGCACACACACACACACACACCACACAACCACAACTCACGTCAACCAGGAGACGCTGCAAGTGAAGGGCGTTCACTTTTGACTTTTGCGTGTCAAACTTGTGCTGCATGACCGTGGCCCCATCCTTGACCAGCCGATCCACTTCCTCATGCAGCTGGCGCTGCTTCTCCACCAAGAAGTCCATCCTCGCTCGCTCGTTGTCGTGTGGTCTCGCAGTCACAGCCAGTGCGTGGTGGTGTGCGTGCGCTCGCCTCGCCTTTTGTCGCTCCCCGTCGCTCGCAACTGCCCACGACACCACAAAATGGCACACCGCATTGCTTTGTCGAATGTTTGTGTACATCTTTCACAAAACCCAAAACACGCCAAATTTCAAAGCAAAAACGCTCTGCAGCCAACTTTGAATTGGCGAAAAAACGGCCAACCCAGCCAGCCACAACCCCGCCACAACACCCACGGCAGCAACCACAACCCAGCAACCACACGTTGTCTACATCGACCACAGCCGACAAGGGCCAGCAGGCAAGAGATGAGCAGGTCCAGCAAGATCCAGGTGGTGTGCCGCCTGGACACGCTGGAAGACAGCGATGATCAGGTTGCAGCTGTTCCAGTGGAAGATGACACCTTGCGCATCAACGACGACTCTTACCAACGTCAGTTGCCAGAACATGCATGCATTGTGTGCACTCTGTCCAGCTGCTGTTGCACGGATGGCGTCATGCTGATGACGGTCCTTTCTCAAACATCCAACACGGTACTCACAACACACAACACAACGCACACGCAACACAACGCACACACACACACATACAAACCACATACTCACAACGCACACAAAACCAACGCACACACGCAGTGACACGAGTGTTTGGTGGAGAGGCGTCAAACAGGATTGTGGCAAACTACGTCAACAAGAAACCCATTGAGTGCTTCATGGACGGCTTCAACGCAAGCACCATTGCTTTTGGCGCATCTGCGAACGACACCATCTTCGGCTCGTCCACAAGCCCAGGCTGCGTCTACTACGCCATCGAGCAAATTCACACGCGCATGCGCGCAGCAGGGGGCGCAGACATGTGGCAGGTGAGAAAACAGCACACACACACACACACACGCACACACACAAGCAAACACACACATACACACACACACACAAGCACACGCACAGACACACGCGCGCAGGCAATGACCCGCGCACGGATGCACAGCCTGTTTCACACGCACACATCATCTCTCACGCATACACAGCCTCATTCACAAATCTACACTCTCACCACTCACACCGTCACTTGGACACACTGTCTCACTCACATGCCGCAACGCATGATTCTGCTCTGCTCCACCCAACACGACGATTACAGCTCGCCATTGGCTGCTTCTGCATTGTTCAAGGCCGTGTTGTGGACATGCTGAGCCCGGAGTACAGCCGAGGCGCGCACCGCACCACGTGTGGATCCCCAGACCAAACAACGCTCGTCATGCCCACGGAGGAGGTGGAGGCAGCCGATATCGTCAACACTGCGCTCGACCGCCACCAAGACCTCGCCGCTATGTACGGCGACGACACCTGCCACCTCGTCCTGCGGTTCGCGCTCTACGACACCACCCTCAAGCGCGGTGCATACCTGACGTTTGTGCACGCTGCCGGCCTCGCCACCTTCCTGCGTGACGGCCGCTGCTCCGACGCACATGCGTCCAGCGATGCGCGCACGATTGTGTCGTTGCTGGAGCAAGTTGGCCAGGCCAAGCATGCCGGCGCTGCCTCCACCACCAGCAGTGATGTCGCGTCCAGCCCCGCAGCCAAGTTTGTGGCCACCCTCCTCAACACATCCTTCATCGGCCTTGTTGCCTGTGTTGGCGCCCGGGAGTCGCAGGCCACTGCCACCACCAGCGCCGTTTCTCTTGTTGCGCCGCTCGCCGTTGCCAAGTGCACGTGCACACGCGTCCCCTCGGCGGACTTTGAGGAGTTTGCTGGCACCGAACGCGTCTTGCCAACCTTTGCGCGGTCACCGCGCCAGCAGCAGCAGCAGCAGCAACACGAGTATCGCAGCCACCATGCGCGACAGGCTGGGCGCGGCCGCCACTCGCCATCGTATGTACCCCACAGCTCGGCACTACACGGCACAGACACGGCCCCGGGGTTCACTGGCCGCCGCCCTGGTGGAGATGCGCTGCCATCACGCATTGACGCGCCCTCAGACGACTCACCATCGTCCGACTCTGCATCGCCTTCGCCCCCGCCCAAGGGCTCCTCACACCACCACCACCATCACCACCGCCACCGCCACCGCCACCATCGTCACGGCTACGAGGATGAGCATGAGGATGAGTACGAAGACTCGCCACAGCAACAGCAGCAACAGCAACAGCAGCATGAGGGGTATCGCCGGTATCCAGACCCGAGGCCGTACGAGACCCCGCCTGCTGCCCGCGTGCCTGCAAGCAGGACTAGTGGCAGCACTGGTGATCATGGCGCAAGACGAGACCCGCACGATGCAGATCTCTCGCGGCTGTTTGACCTCACGGAGGATGAGCAGGTGGCGGCACCCGACGCTGGGCACAAGCGGAGCGTGCGGTTCAAGGAGGAGGGCGCGGCAGAGACAACCAAGGGAGAGATGCACACGCCACCAAGAACAACAACAGCAGCTGGAGGGGGAGGGAAGACGGAGCGTGGCCGTGATGCTCGCGATGGCGCCGGCTGGCGATCGACACCCTGGGAGACGCCAGAAACACGTGATGTGCACCGGGCAACACAAGAGCTGCTGGCACAGGAACACCGCCACCTCCCCTCCCGCGCGTCCAAGACAACAGCAGCAACGAAGAGCGCCGCAGCCGCTGGTGGTGCGCGCGGCGGCAACGCGCGTTACGCCACGCGGGCTCGTGCACACGATGAGGAAAGTGTCCACCCGCAAACGCTTCGCGCTCCACCCGCGCCTGCAGCAGCAACAGCTGGCACCACCACGTACTACTCGCGGACGCACGTGCAGCCCAGTGGTGCAACCACCACCACAACGTCAGCAGCGGCGCCAGCCACGACATCTGTCACAACCACGAGCATTGGCGCGCAGCGTCCCATGCTCTCGGCGGTGCATCAAGCGGAGGCAGCGAGGAAGAGGGCAGCAGAACTGCTTCGCCGCTACTCGCGCTCCCCTCCCTCTACCACCGTGACCACGACCACCACTGCTGCTGCCCCTGTTGCTGACGGTGAGCATCAAACGATGTGTGTGGGTTTGGGTGAGTGCGTGCTTGTATTTGTGTTTGTGTGCGTGAGTGCATGAATGTGTGTTTGCGTTTGCGTGTGCGCGCGCGAGTGAATGTGCCTGTTTGTGCCCGTATCTGCAGTTGTCTGTGTTGCTTGTGTTTGTCCATCTGTCTTTCTTTCTTTCGTTCCGTGTCTCTGTTGCCTGTGTGGATGTGTGTGTGTGTGTGTGTGTGTGTGTGTGGGTGTGGGTGTGGGTGTGGGTGTGGGTGTGGGTGTGGGTGTGGGTGTGGGTGTGGGTGTGGGTGGGTGTGGGTGTGGGTGGGTGTGCCGCAGGTGTTGTGCGTGTTGTGATCTTGCTTTCTTGTTCTCGTGGCTCATGCGCCCTAACCCCCCCCCCCTATGCGCACACACACACACACACACACACACACACACACACACACACACACACACACACACACACACACACACACACACACACCACAGAAGAGCGGCACGTGCGCGACATTCGCGGGCTGCGACGCCGGGCGGAAGTGCGCGAGGCAACAGACGCATACACGCGCGGCAACTTTGAAATTGACGAGGAATTGCAGGAAATTGCATTGTGTGGCTCCATTCGCGACAAGCGGCGCGAGCTTGAGTCTGTTGATGGCGCAGAGCGACACATGAGTGGCAAAGGCGTTGGCACTGGTGGCAGCACAACCACCACCGTGCACTTTGCACCGTCATCGCTGCGCCGGCAGCAAACACAGGAGAGCGGGCGTGCAAAGGAGACGCGCACAACAACGACAACGTACTACGGCGGGGGCCTGGCGAGCAGCCAACGGCGGGTAGAGACGGTGACCACAACAGAGGAGGAACCGAACATCGACCACGTGCGCGTGCGCATTTTGGAGGAAGAGAACGCAGACCTGAAGCAGCAGCTGGCGACGCTGCGTGATGAGAAGCGAGCGGCGGAGGAGGAGTGCTTGCAGATGTGCGCAGAGCGCGATGACGCGAAACGCGAGCGCACGACGTACGAAGCGCACTTTGACGCCATGCAATCCGACTGCAATGCGCAGAAGGACCTGGTGGCGCAGCTGTCCCGCGAGCTGGAGGAGGCCAAGGAGGAGCTTGCAGCCAAGACGCGCGCCCTCAAGGAGCAGAAGGAGAGGCACGTCGACGTGGCAGACCAGCTTGAGAAGGCGGGCATGCTGAGCGAGGAGTTTCAGGCGGAACTGCAGCGCTGCCGGGAAGAGAACCAGAAGCTGCGGAAGGACAACGTGGCGCTGGCGCAGCGGGAGGAGGCGACAACGGCAGCACATGCGCAGCTTGAGAGCGAGCTTGAGGACGTGTCTGCACGGCTGGCGGCGGCGCAGGAGGAGGTGCAGGCGAAGAAGGAGACGATCAGAGAGCTCCGTGGTGCGAACATCTCGCTTGAACAGCAGACGGAGCGGCAGACGCGCAAGATTGAGTCGCTGCGCAACGAGCTTGAGCTTGCGGCCGTCTCGCACGACACGCTACGTCAACAGGTGAAGGATGAGCGAGGTGCGGTGAAGAAGCTGCGGGGCGAGGCGCACGGCACGGCACAGCAGCTGGGGCAGGTGCAGGATGAGCTGGACAAGGTGCGGGTTGAGCGCGACTCGCTCCGGGCGTCGCTCACCGATGCGGACGAGAACGGGCAGCGGCTGCAGGCGCAGGTTGAGGCGTTTAGGGCGAAGCTTGAGGCCATGGTGAAGCGTGTGGAGGGATACAAGAAGCAGCGCGCGCTGTTCCTGAAGGAGCAGCAGCAGTTGCTGAAGATTCTTGCTGCGGTGCATTCGCTTGTCGACGCTGCTGGGGCGCACGCGAGCAAGTGCCAGGCGCGCGGGTTCTTTGCGCTCAAGTCCCGCAAGTTGCACGAGGACCTGCAGCGGGTGATGGACAGCTTGATGGATCACATTATCGAATCGTCTTCCAAGCTCAGCTCGCGCAAGGACATTCTGCAGCAGCTCAAGGAGATGCAGCTCTTCTAACCGACCCGTGTGTTTGTGTGTCTGTCTGTGTTTGTGTGTCTGTGTGCCTGTGTGCCTGTTTATGTGTGACCAGAAAGCCTGATGGGCCGTTGATTGAACGTGTGCATTTTGTTTGCTGTTGTGCTTTACTTCGTTGCACCCACCACCATTCCTGGCGCTATTGGGCAATTAGGCGCCATGCATGCCTCTTTACTTTGTCTTCCCTCTTTACTTTGTGTTCCCTGCCTGTTTTT